CAAAAAACTGAGTTGGATGTCGAAGCTGGGGGTCAAGGTCAAAGTCAAGATGGTGTAAAAAGAAGGGGAACATTCACTCTTAACTTAAGGTATGGGAGGAATGCAGAAATTGGGCACAAATCTAAACGGCTCGACCTAGCTCGTGATAGTTAGTGTATAGCATCATGGTAGGAAAGCCATAAACTGTGCCGAAATTGGAGGTCACAGGCCAAAGGTCATTGGGCCTAGGGCAGATTTAGACATTTCTGAGGACATGGTCTGACGGAGCGATTTGAAAAACTTTTTTGTTTCGGCGGTGACCTAGCATTTTGGAATTATTGAAAGGACCATGAAATCTACTTTCTGCTGACATGCGAAGAGTAAGTGTCAGATAACCTTTTTGACCCTCAAGAGGAGGGTTAAACTTGGATTTGTTGACTGTCTGTTAGAAAGAATTTGACTGCCCGGGTTTGCTAGTAGCATCTATACATGCCTGGATGATGGCTACAATGTCACATGAAATTTCAAAAGCTAAATTTGGTTAAGAAGGTGTATGTTCCTTAAATCGTATAATTTCCTATGGCATTCTGTACTGTCAGTATGTTAACATTCGTTCACTACGCATGCGCTGCCAGTGCATGTGTTGGTGCAGTTTTTCCTTGCGTTAATTGGTTACAGGTGGCAGCTTCTCTATTGGCAGTTCTGTAGGCTTGCGTAGGTAAATGGATGAGTGCTTACTATTCTGTCTTGCGAAAATAGTTGTTGCTACTCATTGCTACCTAACCCCCTACGATCACGACTTCCCATCTTATAATCTGAAGACACTTAAACGTACGCGCCATCTCGTGGCGCAACTTTCATACACGAATCCAACAGGGTTTACTAGAATCCCACCACTCCACCACAGAGTCACCGCAGTAGACGTTAGATGAGCGCTGTCGCTCCGCGGCACTTGTTCACTTATTATGAGTTGTAAATATAGCACGAGCCTGCTTCCGTGTACATTACGCAAACTAAACGCAGGATACAGGAAAACCTAATGATAGTGACCTATCTTAGATAGCACCTGTCTTAACGTTACACATTAACTCTCACTGTTGAAAACACATGTGGTCGTCGAGGGTAACAACAGCAGGCTGTAGAACAGTAACAGCAGCAGCAGCAGTAGCACTAGCAGCAGCAGTTGCAGTAGCCGCAGCAGTAGCAGCAGCAAGTTGTGCAACAGTAGCAGCAGCAAGTTGCGCGACAGTAGCCGCAGCCGAAGCACTGGCAGCAGCAGTAGCCGCTGAAGGAGTCTGTGCAGCTGAAGGAATCTGTGCAGCTGTAGGAAGTGGGTCGCTTGGAACTGTTAGCACCCTAGCTGCCCCAGTCTCTGTGGCAACTCGCTGTGATGTCTCTAAAAAGTAAAAAGGAACTTTTTAATGCATGAATTAACAAAAGGAATCGTAAATGCGGTTACCACACTTTACAGAGACCGGATAGCAGAGTCTTATGAATGTTTGACTGTTATACATTATGGCATGTTCACGTGATGAGATAAATATAACAGTGTTGTATTACATGGTAAATTAAAAATTTGTAATCTGAATTCAAATTTCGCATACTGCTCTGTCCAGCATGCACTAGCATTGCATTGAATTTCTGCATGTTGTGTTCACTGGTTAATACTCCTGCGGTTGCTGCAGTGCTCCACGCCGTTAGTTGAGTTGTCACTTTTGGTCCAATATTAACTTTTCTCTTGATGAAAACGAATGCTTCAGCATCAAAAACGTCTTCCATTAATGCCATCTAAAATAGAAAATCAAATTTCATACGCTTTTATGAACAATGATAACTTTGTTTCATAAATAAACATACTATTATATGTAGGAGTAAGCTTCTAGTAACCTACTCGTTTTAATGTGTGAATAAGATGATATGTGAACATCTACAAACCTGGTACATCAGTAGTGTTGTAAATTTTTTGTTTGTGAAACTGAGAAAAACTATTATGTACTTGTTTTGAGTTCATTTCGTCAAAACAATTTTGGCAAGCCAGAAATATAACTGTACTGATGGATTATTTATAATTAGACAGAAATCACCCTACAAATATGTAAACAGTGCACAAAGAAAATGTTTTATCCTTGCATTCTAGGTACAGCAAAATTTCCCTTGAAATAGCAATTAGATTTAGATGTGCAGCGGCGATTTCCTGTTATTACAGTTAACTTACGTTGTTGAGTATTGCCTTCAGCACCCGTGAAAAGCGTTTTTTCTTCAGTTTATGTTTTTCTTCCCGATCAGGAATTAAATGACTGTTTCTTTGAAACAAAAATCCACAGACACATTGCTTGCATCCTATTTTGTTGACATTGCCGCACTCTCCACACACACGTCTCGCCTTTGCTTGCTATTCTTAAGAAAAAATATATGATCGACATAAATTATTAGAGCAAACAATTGTCAAGTAGTATCGAAGTAATGGATTAATTGTGCATTACTGAAAATCGTTAAAACCGTCTCGCTGCACTAGCCACAAGTTTCATTCTCGCTTCTCGCTAAATGGCATGAAACAGTCGTAGAGCCTAATCGACTGCCCCGGCCCTTCACCTCTCATCTTTTACAGGTGCTTGTTGTTTAATCAGTTTCAGTTGAAAAAACTCTCTATATAAATGCCAAATGATACCTACGAGACTAGTAGTAGTAGTTATAACAACTTCCGGATTCTCCATAACAATTCCTTGAGATTCCTGTAATAGACAAATTTATTTTATGTTGTAATATGTACTGTTTTGTTTGACAATATACGACAGTCTGTAATGAAATTAAACAATTGATCAATTTTGTCTCTCTTAGTCTTCCATAGGCCTATATTATAGTCCTTTGGACTTTGATATTGAAGGCTACTCTGGCTGAGAGGGTCTATGTCCTCCGGGGTACTGCCGGAGCGTACCCTGGGTACGGTCCGGTATACCGGAACGTACCCTGGTACTATCTAATATGCTGGACCGTACAACGCCTACTCCACTATATAACGAGTCTAGGGAGTCGCCTACGCCTACTCCCTAACCCTAACCCTAGTGATGTCACGATCACCGATTATACTCGATCATCGGTGAACAGTGGCTCGAACGAAGCGCTTGGTTATCAAAATCCATAATCAATTTCATCAAAAAAAAAATATAGAATTTTTTTTAATTTGAACAAGAAAACTTGAAAAAGTGATGAGAATCAGTACATGTATTATACACACAGTAGTAAACAGTGCAAAACAAACAGTAAACAGGGCTAAACAAGCACATACATGCACACACGTACATGCACACGACGTTATGCACACGCAGGCATTCAACACCCTGAGTAACTGATTGTAACCGATCATCGGTTACTTGGGTCCAACCGATGATCGATTACGAAATTACAAATATCAAATAGTGACCAGGTTACGTTCCGGTATACCGGACCGTACCCAGGGTACGTTCCGGCAGTACCCTGGGGGACATAGACCCTATGAGCGCTACTCTGAGGTTAGGTTAATCAATGCAACCTAACAGTAGACGTTGACAATAAAAAGGTAACAGGTGCGGTACAGCAGATGTGCGCTACGCCTGAGAACAATATACCACCCCAGGCTGTATATATTCAGAGATATTATAGGCTCAGACCCGAGTCCGAGTCCACACCACCCGAGTCCGAGTCCAGTTTTGATAAAAAAAACGGGAAAAAATCGGAAAAAGGGGAAAAAAGGGAAAAAAGGGGAAAAATCGCAACAGTGCATTGTAGACATTCGAAATTGTATAGTCAGCCGAAAACACAGAGACACGAGTCATACGAGAATGACACGGCTTGACGAACTGCAGCCGGATTTACGCGCGAAGCGCGCATCGCGCCACCTGTTGGCGCCATTTGAGATAACTCGCTGCCCTATATTAGAATACTTTCACGAGGCCATTCTTGGTATAGGGTAAAGCCGTATAATCGGTCAATTGAGCCGTTCTGGCCATTGCAGAAGCCTTTCGGCTGTGGACGTAGGGCGAGAATAAATGCAAATACTCGTTTTTGTTGCTTTGTGGCTCGGCGCGCGTGCTTTTCGTGTAGAAAAATAATTTTCCGTTTTCGCTGATTTATGCCTTCACATTAATTTGGAAGTTATCGCCACCCATAGATGGCGCAACGAGTCCATCTACGTAGCATTTTCAAGTTTAAAAAAAAAACGCTCGGCTGCATGACCCAGACTGCCGCGCGGTGCACAGTTCGACACGCTAGGAAGTTCAATTTAAAGGACTATATCGAAAGATGAAATAGACAAAGTTGATCAAATAGACAGATCAACACTGTGGATCGCAAGAGAAAGAGCAAATATTAAATTATTAATATTAATAATAAGATTTGCATTTGGTCAAGCACCGGAGCACCGAGCAGCGATAAGCGTCAAGCTAGACAGATGATTAACTAGCACCGACACTGTATTAGCACTTCCACACAGTACAAAATACTTATTATTAGTTGAATTATAAATACAAATACAGTGTAGTAGTAGTAATACTGTAATAGCCACAGGGACTTGAAGCGAAAAAAAAGAAGTGTTATATATATAAATAGAAGTGTTATATATATATATAAATATAAAG